CCTGAGGTAAACTCCAGTTGTTTCTACAATCTTATCTACTGGGATGAGGGATACAAGGAGAGAATGAGCAGCCAGACCTAGTGGATGAGAATTGGGTAGGAGAGAGAAGGCTGGTACCATTATCATAATGACCAAGGATAGGAACCTGTGAAGCCACATGTGGTACCAAACCAAAGAGTGAGATGAGGTCATGATCACAGACTGGTCCAAAGATTCAGGAGCCCATGCTGCAAGGCAAGCTCTGGGGGAAGGTTAAAGACAGGACTAAAGAAGGAACAAGAGGAAGCAGAAAGGTAACAGTTCAAACACAGCCTGACAAGGGCTGATGTGAACTGAGAGCACAGATACCTCAAAGGTAGGTGAGTAGCTAATAGGCAGCTAGATAAACCTGAGATGGACTGTCTGGGATAGATCATTCATAAAGATATTGCTGATGATGCCACAAGCTTTGCCATTCTAGGTTGACATCCGACAGCAGTCATTATGAGCTACATACAGAAAATAAATCAGAAAATAGTGTCACCATTTGGGATGTGCTTTAAGTTGGAACTAGCCACTGTCAGAGTTGCCTTGCGGTGATACCATAGCTGCTGTAGAAATAATATGCTGCTTTTCTTACCCTCTTTTTAATCTAGGGGATGTCATTTTGATGGTGTCACCTGTGGTATCTCCTTGTGCATATGGTAATGTGATTTCAGTCTGTACTCATCAGGGGTTTGTCCTGCAAGGAGCCAGACAACTGCAGCTTTCACCCGAGCAAGCTGCTGTGCTGAGCATGACACGAAGTCAGGTACTGGAATGAACACACAGCTCAGCTGTGTAATTTGTGTCATTTTTCTTTAGTAGGAAAATCCCACCAGGCCTCAGCCTCTCACTAAGAACAGAAGTGTAAATTCCTAATTGGGCTTCCTCCTACTACATGTTTGCCTACTCCAAGTGGCAAACATGAATTTTTACCACTGACCTCCAAATAAGCAAGAGCAAGCAGTAGCCCCATAAACCAAAACAACAATTTCAAATCTGCAAATGTGTATTCAGGAGAATAGTCTTTGTCTGACAGATTCATGTTTGATTGCGTGCTTCACAGTCCCTGTGGGACTGCTTATGGCCTTTCAGCATGAAGTCTCCTGGTTTAATGCATTCCAGATGGATTGCAAAAAGAGCTTTCCTATTGTCAAAAAATAACAACTTTTCTTCTTTTTCTCTGAAGCTCTGTCTAACATGATGATAAATTTGAGTTAGAGCGCAGTTGGCATTTTGACAAGTCAGCCAAAGGAAACAGCAATAATCATGGATACAAGCTTAACATATGCAAGAAGTACAGATCTGCACTTCTTAACATGATAAATCACCCAGGAATCCTGTGACACTCTCTTACCAAGGAGTGGACCCCTTACTCTAAATTACCACGCTTAGAGTAATTTGCCATGTCAATCAGAAGATGCATCATTTTGCAAACTAAATGGTGTACAACCCCCCACTTCTCTAGTTGTTTTGTGATCAAGCCTAAGGAATAATGGTTTCCCTGCCCATAATATTTTGTGGAATAAACATGACTTATTTATGGAATACTACAGCCCAAATAGCCAAACATTTTGAGCATGCTTCTAAATGGCCATTTAAAAAGATAACAACATAAACTATTGCTTCAGTGTGATGTCTGGAGCTAAATGTTTCTGAAAAATAATCCCTTTGTTTGGGATTCAAGATCAATTTTGCATGAGTGACAGGATGATATCACATACCAGCTGACTTACAGCTGTTGTGGTTTTAGTCCAGCCCAATTGCAGGGCAGAACATTTTTATGTTAAGACTCTTCCCTGAGGTTTAAATTAAGTTTCTTTTGTCTCCTGAATAGATGACACATGAATGCCTGGTTATTGGAAGTTACTATAGCTCAGCTGCTGAGCTGTTTCTTGTAACTTAACTGCTTGAGCCGTATAGTGGTTATACCTGGATTTAGTAGTTTAATGTGACCCTCATTATTTCAGGTTGCTGTATTTTGCCCTAGCAAAATTTCAAGTTCTCCTGACAGTTCTGCAAGAGGAGAGCTCTCTGCAGAACCACACATGCACTGTCTTGTTTTGTTGCTGAGGAAGGAGAATGCTTATCGTCACATTCCTGCACTGGTGAAAGGTAATGCCTCCACTGCTCAACAACCTGGGAAAAGGAGGGTTGCACTTCAGTGCATGTGAGCTTAACATTAGCAGACTAACCATGGCTGTTGCGTTGCAGGGATTATTTACTGAGAATAGCAGGGGCTGGTAGTTCTCCAGACCAACATGTAACTTAGTCACTGCTACGTATCCAACAGAGCAGATTGATCTATGCCAGGTGTTTGATCTTTAGCACTGGAGTCCTCTTGAACACAAAGTAATTCATATTGGAAGAGACCGTAGAAGGTCTCTCATCCAATGTCCTGCTCAATCCAGCATCAGCAATAAATTCAGATCAGGATGCTCAGGGCTTTTTTTCAGTCAGATCTTGAAATTTTGCAAGGACAGAGATTCCCCCACCTCTCTGGGCCTTTGTTCCAATGCTTCACCGTCCTTACTGGATGTTTTTCCTTTATATTGACTTAGAACCTCCTCTGAATTGATGAGCTTTGTCTCTTGGCTTCCTACTGTACATCTCCTTAGTGGGCCTGGCTTCATCACCTCAATAAACTCCTCTTAGGGATTCTTACTGCACACAGAGGTAGGGTAGCAAAAAACAGGTATGTGAGGTTAGCATCTGATCCTGTCAGCTTCAGTGCTGGGTTCTGCATACTTGTGACTTCCAAGGATCTGAACTGTAACTCTGAACTGAACTGTAAGGACTGCCAAAAACCAGACAAGTTGCTGCCCCAAATCATCTTACTTGAGTCAGACTCTGCCCTAAGGCTCTGGTTCAGGAAAAGGCTCTTAAGGATGAGCTGTCATTGTTCTCAAGCAGGGAAAGATCACAGGCAACAGGGGTGATCAGTAGGGAACAAAGAACCCTTCGCTGCCTGCTTCTTCCTGCTCTGGCAGCAGGCACTTTGCCTGCAGCAGGATTGTTCATTCCTGTATCTCCCCTTCAGACACCACTGCTGAGAGCAGAGGATCACTGTTGCTGACCCCTCTGTTAACACCACTTCAAATAGTACATGATGGAGACATTCAGCCACTGCCCAGTTGCTTCCTTTAATCTATCCACAATAGAAAAGAACGTTTAGAAGCTTGGGTAAAAATGACAGTTCAAAAAGGCCTCTGCTTTTTCTCCCGAGACTATCACAGAATGTTCTGAAAGCACACTAATTACAGCACCATGTCACCTGCTGCCTGTAGACCCAAAGAAAGTTTCTCATTAAAGTATTAAGGTTTCTGCTGCTTTTCTCAGAGTGCCACAGATGATGTTTACAGTGTTTACATGTTTTGCAGAGGGAAATTTCCACTAGAAATATATAGGTGGGCACTGGAGCAAAAGATATTCTGGAAAGGTAAATGTTTTCCCTCACTGTAGAGAACATTTTCTTCTTCCCCCCCCCGCTTTGTTTCTAGATGGATTTTACAAGTGCCTCTTTCCATGTGTTCTGTGGTTGGTTCAGAACTGACCCAGGGAGATCCCTTAGTCCATATTCCAGAGCTCTGGCGGTGGAAAGCTGACATTCTTGCCACACAATCTTTGGTTTGGCCTCTGAGAAGTGTAGAATAGCACTAGAATTTGAGTAGGGTTAATACCATACTAAGAAGTTTTGCATTTGTAATCAGTACCCCTGAAAAGCAGTCAGGTCTTGACTGCTCTTCAATTGTCAAAGTAAGGAAAAACTCAAATCCTTGCTGAATCATTGCAAATCATTCCTGAAATAGAGCATAGGTAGGTGTCCTTGGTATTGGACCTCTGTCTTGAGGATCAAACACCATAAAGTTTTGTCTTTTTGGCTTTAGCTTTTGCCACACACTGGGTTTGAGTAAACAGTAGGTAATGCTGCTGCTGTGGTTTGGTTACTCATGGCATCTGAATTTTGAAAAGCAGATAGGTGACTGCCAGTGGTACAGGCTCAAATTCCCTGCAGTGCTGTGTTTGACATCCAAGGTTTGCCGTCAGTCCCTGGTACTAATAATCCATTCCTCACACTACACTACAGTAGATTTTTTTGACAGGCTTGTATGGTAGAAAGCAATCAAATGTATACAGAGTAATTTAACAAATAACAAGCCTTTAAAACTGTGGTCTGAAATATTATTACAGAAGGCTGAACTAATTGTGGAAGTGAACTGTACGCCAGCGCCTTAATGCACTCCCTGTGCATAGCCCGGCCTTTTAGAGGGAGAACAGGAACTGAGAGGTTGCTGTTTTCTAGCACTTAGTGTCTGTAAAAATGGTGTGGAATTGGATATTTTCCAGACCGGGAGTTACATGAGCAGAACATGATGTTTCTGTTCAGGTCTCTAATCCTAGCAGCGCCTCTGAGGCCACATGGTTCTGGGAGGGGTGCAGGATACTGGCCTTGCACTTAGAGGTGCAAGACACTTCAAGGGCCTGCATGTGAGCACTGGGTTCAACGTTTGTGACTTCTCTTCCTTGTGGACACCACTTTATTTAAGAGACTTATTATAATTCAAGATCAGTGTAGCATCTTTGATGCATTTGTTCATTTTTGGTTCACAGCAGGAGGTAGAAGGTAGTAGAAACAACTGGGGTGCTGGTCACAAAGCAAAGGTGTTTCCAGAGAAAGCTGTGGCCAAGCCTCAGTTTTCAACCGCTGCTGCCCTGCTATAAGTGAACATGATTTAGGGGAGAGAAGATGATTAAGGTGCATTTCATGGCTCTTAAGTAAGCTCAGCATGACCCTCATTAACATCTCCATAATGGAACTGTGATCAGATGAAACCAAACATCTGATAATGTCACCGAAATCTGGGAAATAAACTCAGTGAAATACTAATTTAACTTGGTATCAGTAAGAAGAGTGTTTTCATGTCAGACTACATCACAGAACTCTCTGTTCCTCACATTTTCTTCTGTTCTGTGTGTAGGACTGATGGATGGACTGGCGAAGCAAGGCTATGGGCAGAGCAGCCAGGCTCCCACTGCCCGATCCGACCCCTCCATGTGGTTTCATGTCGCTCCTTACACTGAGACCTTGCTGCAGGCACTGGGTAGGTCAAAGTTATTGGAAGTGCATAGTTCTGGCTTTTACAAGGTCTGACAACCTTGTTAGGGGATTTTCCTGAATTAGGAATTCATTAGGAATATGGTTGTTGTCTATAATAACTCATGTAGTGTTCTGCTGTCTGTCAGTCACAGTAATTGTCATTGGATGTCTTCTATTGCTGGGTAATGATGGAAGAATCAATAGAAAAATAAAATGGAAATACCTTTGTAAAGTAAATTAAAAAGCATGTGGAAAAATGAATTATTCAAATGTGACATGATAACAACCAGTTAAGCCTTAAACCATAATTAAAAGGTTAATATCCAGTCAATTTGTATTTATTGCCGTAGTCTCAAGATAAGTCAAAATATTGAACTGTGATTAGCTGGTGGTTAAGAGTGTTAAACTAGAATTTGCTGCAGTGATAACTGTTTGCAGCTGTTGTTCTTCTGGAGGTGCAGGGGAAAGCACTTTTTCATTTCACTTAGATGTTCTTCATTTCAGTTTCTGCAGTTTAGTTCACTTCAGTAACTTATTCATTCAAGGCTGAGAAACTGATAGGACTTGAAAAAAGCAAGTAAATGTGTTTTCTGTTATAACTCTGTGACTCAGATGGGTAGGAGAGTCTTAAACCTCCTAGTTCTAGACACTTGGAGGTCATGGTAATCAGATGTTTATTTCAGTAACTACAGGATAGTGTTTTGTTATGTATTCAGTAGGTTAATATAGTTTTATTTAACTAGGTACATTATTCTAAATCCTAATTCAGGATTTTTAATGGAAGTATATTGCTTTCCAAAACCAAATTCCCACAAATCATAAGGAAAAATAATTATCAAATGCATGTCATTCACCGTTTTCTAGCATTGTGGAATGTTAAGATGTAGAAATAACTAAGTAAATAACTGTTAATCTATACAATTCCTTAATAATCATGTAGTGAAAGAGTATCAAATCAAACACAGGTTTCTGATGGGCTGGGGATTCTGCAGACTACACTTTTCCCAAAAGGAATGTGGACATCTGCATGCTATTGTACCAGTCCCCAATTTAGTCCTCCATTATATGCCATGTAATGTCCTAGAATGCAAATGAAATATCAATTTAATGTGAAGTCAGTCATTAGTTATCAATCTGAAACTGATGCCTTCAATCATTTGGGTACAGATCTATCAACTCTGCTTAACGGTGTGAATAAGGATATCAAAATTACAATGGAATATATTTGCTTTATGTGGCAAAAAGTCCTTCCAGTTAAGGAGTGTGACTAATCAGTGAGGGTTTGCTGTGATGCTGCTCCTCATGCATGATCCTTTTCCAGGCTGCACTGAGCTGCAGCATGAGGAGTAGTATCATAGTGAGGCACTGCCTCTTGCTCAGTTGAGAATTAGTCAGTTCCTTCACACTAAAAGTCTTGAGATTAGTTTTTGTGGGGTAACTCATTTTGTTTTGATGATCTCCCTGAGCAGGAGGAAGCCTCAGTGCAGTGCCAGAGCCCCATTACATTCCTCTGGATTTTTTCTGCAATCGAACCTATGCTTCTGATCCTGAAATGGAGCAAGTTGTCATGCTGGCAGTGGTTGGAACGGATGCTATGAAGAGTGCTGGAGAGTTCCTTCACCAGATCCTTCTTCCTGGGCCCAATACTCAACCTCAGAGCCCAGGTGATTTCCAGCTCTTGGGAAGGGCTGTAAAAGTTGGTCAGAAAAGTTCATCCTGCCTATCCTGTTTTTATCATAGCAGGAACATGATGAAACATGTGGTGAAAGGGGCCTGAGGAAGGAGGACAGATTTCTTTGCTTACCTGCCTAAAGAGCTGAAGAATTTATCATGGCTAGTTAGTCACGGGCAAAGCCACTTTCCATATTGCAGACAGCTCAGGTGGGCATAATGAATGTTCTTCAGAGAGCGTCAAGTTAGTTGAAAACTGTGCTTAGGCTTACAAAGCCTTTTATGTAATCCAGAGCACTGCGTCTCTCCCTGAGTACCAGGAGACAGAGTAATTGGGGCACAGCAGTGGGAATTCAGGAGTCACAAACTCTATTCTGTCCACTGACATCCTTTGTGCTCAGCAGCAAAATACTTACCCACTATGCTGTGTTTTCTCATGCACACAGGAGAAATAACAATGCTCTCACCACATTAAGTGCTCACAAAAGCATGAAGAGTGTGGTCAAGTGCTAAGCAGGATGATGGGTTTAGATAATTTCATGAATACGGATTGCAACAAGGTGTAATAATATAAGGAGTGTACTCATAAAGGGCAGAAGTCTGGCATCCTGTCTTATACTATGTGTATTGTACTCTCTTGAAACTATATTATGGACTAAATTCTGCATCACTTACTCCATAGTATGTAAGCAAGGAGGAGATTCTAGCTGACAGAAACTTCCAGCAATATGCACTCATGGATTGAGCCCCTAAATATCTTGCTACATGGGATGTAAGATTACTCTACAAGCACAACAACATTTAAGCTACTTTAGAGACAAGTTGGTGTTAAATTGTAGCTTATTACTATAATGAATATAGCTTAAAATGGAACATGATGAGAGGTGGTAAAGGATCTATAATTATGGATTATATTGTGTCAAACCACGTTGTTATCAGTGTTTTCTCAGTGTTTCCCTTTCAACTCTTCTCCAGTAGTTGTGTTCTCTAATCAAATCAGGACACTTATGCTCCATGTCTCCCTGTTGATTTCCCAGATAGCTCATCTTTTGTTTCACTGTAATATAATTTCCTAGCATTTGTATCTTGTGGATTTTCCCTGTACATTTCTGTATCTGCATTACAGTCCATTTTGCAACGGGGGCAAAGCTTTGGAACTTGTTGTCTAGTAAAAAAAAATCCATGTGAATTTAGAACACTTGTCTCCAAAAGAAAAAACAGCTTCTATGAAATACATGGTATCAACTAAACAGATGCTAAACAGATTTTTTTTTCACTTGCAGAAGAACCTGATTTGGGATTTGAGCTCCTTGGTCTGAAGTGGTTGCCCCATCTCACTCGACATCAGGCCAAAGAAGTAACCCCTTTCGAAGCTGGAGATACTTCCTGGCAAAGCAGCCTTGATACACTAATGTCAAACCCAGTCCTTGTGTGTGCATTACGGCGGATCAATGCCTTCAGAGTTCTTGCAGATGCATTGGAGAGATTAACACAATGGAGGGAGAAGCTGAGCAAAAGTGGCAGTCTTCTACAGATAGTAATGGCCCTGACCCCAGAGGTGACATTTAGACAAGCCATCCTCTTCTTCACAGAGACAGAGTTTGTAACTGGTAAGACATGGTTTTACTGTTTATAATATCCTTGGGTTTAAGGTGTTCAGGATTTTATTTAACCTGGACAAAGCAATCCAGTGCTATGAGTTTTTCTCAGTCACAGAAAAGTGTAATAATTTGGGGTTAAATTCTGGGCTTAGCTGAGTAATGATGAGGGATATGAAATCAGCAGGAGCCAGCTGAGGTCATCTACAAGTTAGCCTATTAATTTCATGTGGCTCTGCATGGCCTGGTGACCTCTCTAAAGATCTTGAGGTATTCCATAAAAACTAAATTGATATTACAGTGGTTGGTAGGGCCAGTAAATAATAGGTTTACCTTTGTATATAAGAGAAACTTAGAAACAGAGGCCAAGATCTATCCCAATTAAATGTGGGCACCTATTTGTGGTGCCTAACTTGCTGAGGCAAATACCCCAGCGTTGCTCTGCACTTGGGGAGCCAAAGGTACAACCACTGTGCAACAGCTGAAGAAAGCAAATTTCTTGGGAATTACTTTTCATCCTGGAAGAGAATGAACATTCATGGCAGAGGAGAGATTGAGATTAGGTATTAGGCACAAGTTCTTCCCTATGAGGGTGCTGAGGTGCTGGCACAGGTTGCCCAGAGAATCTGTGGCTGCCCCATCCCTGGCAGTTCAAGGCCAGGTTGGACACAGGGGCTTGGAGCAACCTGCTCTAGTGGAAGGTGTCCCTGCCCGAGGCAGGGGGTTGGAACTGGATGAGCTTTAAGGTCCTTTCCAACACAAACCATTCTACGAGGAAAGGAGACTGCTGTTGTCAAAAGCTTCTTTGGCTTCCATGATATATGCTAGCATTGATCATTCAACGTAGTAAACATGAGAGTTTCCTCCTGAAATAAGAAATGTAGAACTATGCCTCTAAGCTAAATTACTGCACAGACTGTGGTGTTAGTGATATTAGATGCTTTGGAGCAGCAGAGTATGAGCTCTTACTGCTTTCTCCCAATGTGAAATATATTGGCATATCACCTCTGTTCTTGGGGATGCCTGACTCCTTACACCTAAAGATAAACAGTTCCAAGCCTGACAATTCCTGATTGTTCAGAAACAGAGAGAAATCAAGATTGTGGTAACACCATATATCAACTGACAAGGAGTGATGCAGTTCCAGAAGTGCATTCATGCTTTGTAATTTATAGCTCTTCCCCTAACTTTCTGTGGGGAAGAAAGGTCCTTTGTTGTCAATAAACTTAGATACTCATGTCAAACACACAGTGTAGTAGTGCAGAGTAACAAATTGGCTTTACTAAATAGAAAAAAGAAACTGTGATGGTGTCTTGGAAAAGACACTCAGTCTTACAGAAAGTTAGTTTTGACGGTGAACTATGTGGGTGTTTTATGTGAGATAGGAGAACAAGAAAAAGAGGCCTTCAGAAAAGAAGGCACCAGACATCTCAAATTAGTGTAT